AGAATCTTTAAAGTCACTGTGAAACTGGAGTCATACGCGAGGAGGTATTTTCCAACTGCGTTACAAAAGGAGAACCGGGCTTTGAATTCGCTGAGACAGAAGGGTGGAGAATGATCAGGTCTTCACGTTTACTGGCGCACACTGACACCATGAGTATTTACTGAGGTATGGCAACGTGAAGTTGTTTTTTTTTTTGTTTTTTTTAATATGTAATAGATTTTGATATTCTGTAGAGCCATTCACTGTGAACGGACGAGTAAAAAAAATATAGATAGTTGCTTTGCTATTTTATTATTACTTTTAATGGCTGAAAACATAGGTAGTTATAAAATATATAATATGTAATAAGGTAATGATCCAGCTGCAATGGAAACTAAAAAAAAAAGGGTAAAATAACCGTTTCTCTGTTTCCAGACAGCTTTGACGAGTCAACAGAATGATCCTAGACACAGACTCTGCACTATGATTTAAGTTGAAAGGGGAGAGAGCTTTTTCTCTCTCGTTTTTTTTTTGTTATTCCTGTTAGTTTCTCTTTTATCAAAATTCTAAGTTCTTCGTAATGTTTTATGTGCAAAAACGTAGCGTTACTTTTTGATGACTTGCTGTGAAATCGTTTTGTATTTCTGAAGAGTCCTGGGATTCTCATTGTAATAGATAGAGAGGGTCAAAAAAAGGCTCAAATGTATTCGTCCAATTAACTGAGGGTGAACAAACGGTGATCCACACAGTGCGCTTTCAGAAGGATTAGTAACCATTTTAAAATTGATACAACGAATAGAAAACGAAACAAAACGACAAAGTGACTATGAACACTGCTGCAAGAATTTTGAAAGACCGTTGAAGGGTCCGATTTCTATCAACGCTGAGAACTTAACGTAAAGGATTCATAAGAACAATTATGACTGAAAGAAGATTTCTTTAAATGAAATATGTAATAGAGACATGTCCATACCTTCTTCTTTTCAGTAACAATTAAAGAAAAATGAAAAAAGAATGACATTTTTAATGGCCAACACAAACGTAGAAGGAACAGCTTTATTATCAATTAGAAATCCTTATTTATGCGAAAATTATTATCACACCTAAATACTAAAAATATTGTATTTAGGTGTGCTATAACGGTGACAGTGTTTCTAAAACAAAGAAAGAAAGAAAGGTAAAGAGAAGAAAAAAAGCACAAAACAAAAAACTATCTTTAGAAGAGCATTAAAATGTCAAGCCGAGTTCAGGACCAAGGACAGACAAGAATGATGTAAATATAAGGTAGTTGTTTATACTACTACACAAACCAGAAGCAACGCAACTTTGGACAAACCAAATCGGTGGTCCCTCAAATTTGGAACTGTATTAAAAAATGAATCAGGGAAAAAAGAAAAGAAAAAATTGACTTAAAATTCACATAAAACGATTCCAGGAACAGCGCAAAAACGCAGTTCAGAACCAAGGACAGAGAAAAAAAATAATGAAATTGCAAGATGCTTACATTACTAATGTACAAAAGCAACAAAGTAAATCAAATGAGGTTACAGAATCATTCAAGTTTATTTTTGGGACGACGAAAAGATATTTTTGGTGACAATGAAATGATCCTACCTCAGGAGAACCATCGCTGTCCCCAAACACATCGACAAAGTCTGATGGACTTTTCTTCAGAGTCTGGTCAGCAGGCAGCGTGTTGTCATTGTATGATGTCACAAACTTAAAGTCACTGGTTCTTGAACCTGTGGTCAGGTAGGCGTCATAATTGTAAGTGCTGCGTAAAGTTCCTGTGCCATCAACATCTGCGTAATTAGGAGGAAGATAACCGCTGGGGATGGCAACTGCTCCATCAAACAACAGTCTGGGCTTTCTCCTGCGACAAAACCTCAAACCCAGGATGATGATGATAAAAGTCAGAAAAAACGTGGACACAGACACCAGCGCGATGATCAGATAAGAAGTCAGTTTGGAATTGCTCTCATTATAAGACAGATCCTTCAGTTCTGGCACTTCCGCCAAGTTATCAGAAATAAGTAAATACATGGAACAGGTGGCAGACAGAGAGGGCTGTCCGTTATCTTTCACTGCCACTACAAGGTTCTGTTTCATGCTGTCAGATTCAGAAATGTCCCGCTGTGTCCTGATCTCTCCGCTGTGGACACCAATAGTAAAAAGTCCCGGATCAGTGGATTTGACTATTTGATAGGACAGCCAGGCGTTCTGTCCGGAGTCTGCGTCCACCGCGATCACTTTGGACACCAGAGAGCCTCCGTGTGCAGCTTTGGGGACCAGCTCGGTCATGAAGGAGTTGCCCTCTGGGGATGGGTACAGGATCTGAGGAGAGTTGTCATTCACATCTGAGATGAACACACTCACGGTCACGTTGTTGCTGAGAGGAGGAGAACCGTTGTCTCTGGCTATCACGTGGACTTTAAAACTCCTGAACTGTTCATAATCAAAGGACCTCACAGCGTGGATCACACCCGTGTCTCCGTTCACAGACAGATACGAGGACACCGGGGCACCGTTCACCTCACCAGCTAACAGAGAATAAACCACTGTACCGTTCTGTCTCCAGTCGGGGTCTCGAGCACTAACGGAACATAAAGTGGAGCCAGGTTTGTTATTCTCACTCACATATGCGTTGTACGACTGTTCCTCAAACACAGGTGGGTTGTCGTTGATGTCAGCTACAGATAACTGAACACTTTTAGAAGAGGACAGAGGTGGAGAGCCCTCGTCAGTGGCAGTGATTGTAATGTTGTAATCAGACACTAGTTCACGGTCCAGTTGTCCCGTGGTGACCAGAGAATAATAGTTTTTAATAGAAGGAACCAACTTAAAGGGGACACCCTGCTGGATGGAGCAGCGGACCTGTCGGTTATTCTCAGAATCTCTGTCCTGCACGTTAATGATGCCCACCTCTGTACCAGGTGGGGCGTTCTCGGGCATGGGGTTAGACATTGACTTAAGATGTATTACTGGTGCATTGTCGTTCACGTCAGTGACTTCAATACTTAATGTTGAATATGAAACTAACCCTAATCCATCTTTAGCGCTTATCTGCATTTCATATGATGATACTTTCTCGTAATCAATTGCTCCAGCTACTCTCACTTCTCCAGTTCTGGGGTTTAATGAAAACACATCGCTGTTTTCATCTGAAACATGATCAAATCCATAAGTAATTTCGCTATTTAAACCTTCATCTGGATCATTGGCACTCACTGTGATTACTAATGCTTCCAGAGGAGAGTTTTCAGGCAGACTTGCTGTATAGACATTCTGACCAAAGACTGGTACATTATCATTAGCATCCAGTACAGTGACGTGTATGACTACAGTGCCTGATCTCTGTGGAGAGCCTCCATCGAAGGCGGTAAGTAACAGCGCAATCTCTTTTTTGTCTTCCCTGTCTAGTTCTTTGTCTAAGACTAGTTCACAGTATTTACGACCACTCGCCTTTGTGTTCACATTTAGTTTGAAATGATCATTCTGCTGAAGTGAATAGCCCTGAACAGCATTTTCTCCGATGTCCGCGTCGTGAGCTTCTCCGACAAGAAAACGTTCGCCTTTATCCGCTGACTCCTGTATTTCAATCTTAAGTGATTCCTCTTTAAACTGTGGTGAGTTATCGTTGATGTCTTGAACGCGGATATGAATGCGGTGCAGTTCTAAAGGATTTTCCAGCACTAGCTCCTGTTTCAGAACACACGACGCCTTTTTCGCACAAAGCCCCTCTCGGTCGATCCTTTCTTGTACAATTAACTCGCCAGTATTGAGATTTACGCTGCAGTACTTGACACCGCTATCCTCTGTATCTATACGAGGCTTTCGAGCGGACAGTCTGCCCAAATCAAGTCCCAGATCCTTAGCGATATTTCCAATTATAGATCCACGTTTTATCTCCTCTGGCATAGAATAGCTCACGTCTCCACTCACGGTCCCGAAGATAATATACATATAAGCAAGGCCGCAGCGCAGCGCATATACGCTGTATCCCATTGCTACTGCGGAAAAAAACAAATTTTGCTAGCAGTTTTGTATAGTAAGATCTACAATGACCAATTTCCTTCTATAAGCGAAAAAATCACCCAACGTTTTGCGAAAAACAACTGCAACTACAGATTCGAGGTTGAAAGTCGTAGATAGTGAAGGGTGGGGTATTATTGCAGTCTCTCGTTTGCTGGTACACACTGACACCATGAGTATTTCTCTAGGTATAACAACACAACAGTATGATTTAATTTCAAACAGAGACATATTCATTGAAAATTGCCAGTCGAATCTACAAAAACTTTGTGAGAACAAAGAGATAAATTAAGTTTGCCAGATAATTATATACAACTGCTAGCAGGGTAGGTCAACACCAAACTAAACCATTTTTCCTTCAAGAGCTTCATGTTTTCAAATTAATTTTATATTTCAAGTCATTCCACAAAAAACTATAAGCTGGAGCATTTAAATTATAAATATTGTATGAAGTGCCAAACCTATATTCCATGATGTCATGACTCTCTCTCTCACTAATGAAACTGTGATTCTTATTTTCATTTTTAATGCACTTTCCTGTTTTACATTTCCACCGTCCTGTTTAAAAAAATATATTAAGTAAAACTGAGAAAAAGCTGTATTGAATACATTCATGTATAGCCTGTAACAGTTACATTATTTAAAACAACAACACTTTTATCCTTGCAGAGGTGAAAAATGTCAAAAATAAAACGTAAGCATTTTTCTTTTAAAGCAAACTTCCTGAATTATTCTGTTTTTTAGACTGTAAATCCTGACTTTATATTTTGCACACTGAAGTTTTTACTCTGCTAAAACACTGCAGTTAAAGACAAATTTCTTTTAAATAATTATTGTTCAGCAAGCATTTTAACAGCGTGGAAGCTATCAGTCATACATTTGTGCGGAGAAAAAAGTATTTTCTTTGATTGCTTCAATATGTCCTGATGAATAAAATGTTTAAGCTGTTGCTGTTTTTCTAACAGCGCACTGTGTTTTTCAGATGGTTTACATGTGGTGAAACTACGAACCGATTTAATGCTGATGCTAGACATAATTAAAGACAGACTGATCAATAATCTTTATCAAGTCTAAGCAAAGAGACCATTTCACTAGCCGCGTGGATACAGTAAATGCCTCACATAAGATGTTTAGTTTAACCAAAAATTACAGTGCATTTGTGAAATTCATATGCCGGCTGGAAGTTTCTTCATTTAAGGTACCGGCTGGCTGTCAGTGAAATTTGAGGTCGTAACATGTTATTTAACACCATAAAAAAACTTTCAAGTTCTGTAAGACAAAACTTTTGGTTGAAACGTTCATTTATAGAGCGCAAAGGGCATGACATATGTGGGGAGGGTAACATACATAGGAACGACATGCGCGAAGAAAATAAATAATTAGGAAATCATCATGAAATGTACAACTGGCACCTGTTAAAAGAAACAGACTCACTGGAGGGAGGCAATTTCTTTAACAAAATCACAGATAAACGACGCCAAACTACACCGAAGCAAACAAAGACATTCAGTCTTCTTGTTGAAGGTGCACAAAGACTTATGTATAACAATCAGCTATGCTCAATGTCTACTAATATCAAGCAAACAAACCAAAAACTTCAGCACCATGGATAGAGTAAGAGAGACGCAAAAGACATTCTCTATTCAAACTTAAACTGTATGGCAGCAGAAAATAATTTTAAAATAACATAAACGCCAAGAATTTCTTCCGCGTGAACACTATCAAATAAGTGAACAAAAAGGCTGAAATGTGTAAGAAAATGGGAAACCTTGAGTCAGCAAAGCGAATTTTCAACGAACAGTCCTCGAACGTCTCAAAGTAAACACCAAAATAAAACCTGAATGGCAAATAACAAGATTGAGAGAAGCGTGGCTGTCTCATTGGAACTAATGTGAAGGGAATAATTATGCATCATACCTCAGTGGCAGTATCGCAGTCCCCGAATACATCAGCAAAGTCTGATGGACTTTTCTTCAGAGTCTGGTCAGCAGGTAGCGTGTTGTCATTGTATGATGTCACAAACTTAAAGTCACTGGTTCTAGAACCTGTGGTCAGGTACGCGTCGTAATTATAAGTGCTGCGTAAAGTCCCTGCACCATCAACATCTGCGTAATTAGGAGGGAGATAACCGCTGGGGATGGCAACTGCTCCATCAAACAACAGTCTGGGCTTTCTCCTGCGACAAAACCT